ATATAAATAAAATAATTTCCCTTTGAAACAAATTAATGTTTTAGTATTTACTTTTGTCTGAAGTTGCTTGTCATTTAGGTTAGACAAGTCAGTGGCTAAATGATGTAAATTGTGCAAAAAGGAAGGCGCAAATCTTAAAGTATACAATACACTATTGAGGAAGCAAGTATTTCCTAGATTACATAAAGTGGCTATCTTCAATCCTTCCGAATTGGTACCAGACATGTCGTAGCTTCCATCCTGATGATTACTCAGCTGATTTCGATAGCCATTCAACATTTTGCTTGCTGTACCTTTATAGAACGAAGGTATAATAAAAAATATATTTCAACGAAATTATATAACATCCAATAAAAGTTTCAACTAACAACATAATATCAACGTCATTATTTTTCTCAGCAATAAATGTAACATATGTTGTACGTAATAGTTATATTGTTGAGTAAAATTATAACACTGATGTTATGCTATCATGACTCTGTATGCATTAGGTAATTATCAATGCAATAATGTAGTGAACACCAACTAATGATAATATTATGTCAATGTTATAATTTTACATTCAACAATACAAATTAAAATAACATATGTTGTACATAACAGTTATATCCTATATGGCATACTTTACCAATAAACAAAGATATAGGGACATTTGTAGAACGTTTATGCTTTATAGGATTATTGAGTGGAACAGAGGTTTATACTGTATGTCATGTCAGATTGGTGAATGAATTATCGCGATGTTATGTTACTGTTACTTTATGTTTACTGGGTAATTATTAATAAAATATCATTAATAAATGGAAATAAATAAGAATCATACGTACTAAGTGTAAAACCTGTTCTATCCAAAAGGCCCCCTCTTGTGGATGTAGGAGGGGGCTGTGGGACCACAACGGAAATTGCACGTCCGCGGCCCGACAGGGACAAGCAGAACTTCTTTCTAGGAGGAACTGAGCGTTTATCTGCGTCTTCCTCCGTTTCTAATACTGTCATCTTCTGTTAACCTAAAACCACGTTACCATGCCCTATATCTCTCGTTTCGTCGAACAGACGGACGAGGAACGAGTTCCACGTGCACAAGCCATTTTCCGTTAATCTAACTTCGCATACGCTTACCGAGAATCTGCGGTTTTACGTGAACCTCGATCGAGACAATCGGTCGACCGCGTCTCAACGCGGACGCGGGATCGCGTCGCGAGAAATGTCAAAGTGCGTTTTTACTCACGTGTGGTCGAGGAGAGAAGTCATGGAACGCGAACAGGATCGTTTGTTACAACGTTGCTAATGGTGCCGGGTACCTACAGCAGGAGAATAACGGATACGATTGCCCGGAAACTCGCCGCAAGCTGCATGATCCCGAATGTCTGAACTAGCGTCCTAAATTAGTGAATCCCCCTCGGGTTCACGCCGCTCGCTGGCTCACTTCACCTTCACCCCCGCCGATTCTACGAGTCAACCAGTCAACTTCACACGACGCATCAACTAGAACACGGCACTCGGGGCGGGGGAGGGGGGACTTTGTACCAATGGCACGTCGCGATCGAGAACGTGCGCACATACGGAGCCAATTAGATTCGCTGCATCGACAAGATCACCGACAAGATGCTATTAAAGACCGTCAACCCTAGACAAATTTTCGTCTTACAAAAAGACCCAGAAACAGACGTCTAATAAGATGTCATGACATCTTAAAATTCGTGAGATATTTTTGGAATATCTGAATGACGTCTGAAAGATATCTTTTGGAAAAGTCTTCAAGACGTCTCTTTTAAGACGTCTTTTGGATGTCTTTCAGAGCCCCTAAAACCTAAAACCTGGAGGTAATTGAAGAACGCCGACATTATCGATAATTGATACATATTTGTGATTATCAACATAAATATTTGGCTAATACATTATATTGAATTCATAATATTTTATAATATAAGTGCTCCATAAATAAGTATGCTTACTTTTAATGCTATAGTATCTTATATATTGCCGCGTGAAATTACTTTTTTTTCTTTTACAGTTATCATCTCTATTGATAATTGAACTTGAATGATATATAATATTAAAATCACAATTTTAAAGAGAAATCGAGTATTATTGAGTTTTATTTGAGTTTCAAGTGCATGTATATATACGCGTCTATGAAATTAATAAAACATAAAATTAATACTATTATATTGTCAGTTTCTTAGCCAGAATTCTCATACGAAAAACAGCGCTCGGTGTCAAAGTTGGTTGTCTCTATAAGGATCCGAGTCAATAAAAGTACTTTTTATTTCAAACAATATATACTTATATTTTTAACGTTAGAGCACCTAATAAAAATTGACGCTTGATATTCATCGTGAAATTTTAATACCAAAAATGAGCGTCAAGCGTTAGCATAAAATCGCACTTTCTTGAAGCAAGGTAACAATAAGATGAATTTACTAAAACAATTTACTACATTTTAAAATGTTTCTATATTACATATTTCGAGTAAAATTTTCTTCGGAGAGGGGACGTTTTGAAATGTAGCCTAAGCGTCGAACAATATTCCGCGTTCGGCAGAATGTTCATTTTGCAACTGTTGGAAGTTTTCTTCGTCGATTTTGAAATACAAAATTATTCCTTCAGATCTAAAAGCATAATTCAATCAGTAGATACTGGAAAAAAAAAAAAACTCGCAACAGTTGCAAAGTTGCTTTTTCTGTCGAACGCAGCCATCGTGTTGAGCGCGATCGATAAAATTTGCCGGGAAGATCAACGAGAGGGATTTCAAAACGCCGCGCCTTCGTCGCCATTACATCGTAGCAGTCACGTGATCGAACGTGCGCGACACGATGCGCGATCGGCACGAAACGAGGACGGCGAGGGGTTGAGGAACGGATAGCGCATGCGCCGGCAGATCCCGCTCGCGAGATGAATCATTTCTGGCCAATCAACATCGGCGTAGCAGCGTGTTTCGTGATGTCAACACCGGCGCTCAGGTGCTTCCGGTACTGACCAGATTGATGCGCCCCGTCTGTGTCGCTACGCGCCTTCGTGTATCGCCAGTTCCTCTGGCGCTGCTCTGCCGCTCTGCGCGCATTTGCTGACACAGTGTCGTCGATACCACTACACAGTACAAGTATAAGCCGCGTAAACGACGATAGGTACAAAAATCGCGAACTGTTTTTATAATTGATACCACGAACTTGCGGGCTCTGTGTCTGTGGCGTTCGTTCGATCGCTCGAGGCATCGCCAAATCGTTCGCGACACCGTCGGCTTCCCGCGCGTTAAGCAACCGCTGCCGGTCGTGCCGAGGTGCCCCCCCCGATATAGCTGCGTCCCCGTGCCGCACGCGAGACCGCCTGAAATCAGGTAAGTCCACCCCCACGCTCTATTGTTGCCGTCATTGCGACCGTCTTGGCCGTCGTCGCTCCCTCGTGCACGAGGAAAGAAAAAGAGAGAGAGAGAGAGAGAGAGAGAGAGACGCACGCACGCCTCCGACGGTGGAATCGCGTCACGCCGAGACGGTGCCCGTCTCGGGCATCTCCACCACGCCGTCGCGATCCGTCCTGTCCGACGGATCCTCGACGCCGCGTCTCTGCGTTGGCGTGTTCCTGTACAGGTCATCGGGAAACATCGCCATGCTTGCGCGAGCGACCGGGCGCGACCGCGCGCTCTCTTTCTCTCTTCTCTCTCTCTCTCTCTCTCTCTCTCTCTCTGTCTGTCTTTTTATCTCCCTCTCCCATCGTATCCGCGCTCTCTCGTCGGCGTGCTCTCTGTCTCGCGCCTCTCACGATCCTCTTCCTCGTCCCTTTTTTTTTTGTTTCGTCCTGCTCCACGAACAGGACGAGGATGCGTGGGAGAAATGGACTCTCCGTTCGGAGTTGAGAAACACGTGCTTTGCAGGATACTCCGAGTGACTCTTGAGTCCCTAGCGCGGTTTAGGATCGTAGGAAGAGAGACAAAGAAAGAGAGCTCGAAGAGGGGAAGAGGGGGGTGGGGAGAGGGAGGGAGAGAGAGAGAGAGCGGAGAGGAAAAGAGAGAGGTGGTGGCATGCGAAAATTTTGCCATGCGCTTCGCTGAGCTACGCGCGTCGCCAATCCCTTTGTGTTTGCCGCATGTATCGCTCCGATTATTTGCGCGCTGCGTAAAGAGACGGGATTTTTGGGAGGGCTCGAGGGATTAATCCCCCGCGAGGTCACACCGGCGATGCTTCCAGAGCCCAAGGGCACATCCCCTCTCTCTCCTCTCCTTTCCCCCTCCTTCCCATGGATTTTGCTGGCAAAGGGAAAATGCAACCGCGTGTATATCCTACCTGGGATTCGGAGAACTCGAAGATTCCACGGGCCACCGTAATTTTTCTCCACGTGGAAAATAATTCGACGCTAGTAGTACAGGCATGAATAAATCAGCCAGTAATTTAAATTCGATTAGAAATGGAATCATAAAAGATTCATGAGTTATAAAATATATAGTCCGTTTATACAATGCATTGACTATATCTATATAACGTATGTGTGCGTGCGTTTAATATATTCTCAAAATATCTGTGACGACAATGCCTTAAATGATGAATTTTATTTCTTTTGTATTGACAATATCAATTTTAAGTCGCTGACTTACGTACATGATTAATTATTGCATTTTGAAACAAATTTTATGAATTTATTTTTCATAATTTATATGCATAATGAATTATATTTCTATTCGATTATTTATTATAATAAGAATGCCTTGAGTTTTCGGAAAAATACTATTTCATTAATATGTTTTGAGAGAGATATCATATAATCAATACATTATAATTTTATTGAAATTTGAAAGGATTATAATATATTTAAATATTATAAATTATATTTAAAAATGTATTTAAAAATGCCTTGCTCGCAAATCTATTAATTTGTTTTTAATCCACAATTTTTTATGTTTTAATTATATCGTGCTCCCTCTAACAAAAATGTATTTTTCTTTGTTTCAGATATCTGCCTTAATAATTTTAAGATTTTACATTTGAACGTTTAGTTTGCTGTTTCCAGCGAAAAAATATTCTAGAAGTTAAAAAGTAAAAAGATGGTCATGGAGGCATCTCCCTCTCCACAAAGTGTCGGTCGTGAGTTCGTCCGACAGTATTATACATTGCTGAATCAGGCACCTGCCCATCTCCACAGGTGATGTTGTCTAAGTTATATTTTTTCTATTTAATCTTTGCCATAGATTTTTCCAGTCAGTTGTAACCAGTTCAAATTTTATTTAAAAAATAATAATGAATTAATAATAGTAAACAGAGCTAATATATATATATATATATATATACATATATATATGTATAGATGTTTTTCAACTATTGCACATAAGTCTCCTCTAACGTTTTCTTTCATAATATTTAGGGTTTTTTTGACCATGCTTCACACTAGACATGTGTGTTAGTAAGTTTATATTTCAGTTTCTTATAAATCTAGCCACATATTATTATGGAGTAATATATTAACACCTTAGGGTGCTTCCCTATAACAATTGGAATTTCGAAAAACGGAATCTTGGAAAAGTAATACGACCAATCAGAATCATTCGTTATATAATGTGCTGAACTCTAATTGGTCGTATGACTTTCCTGAGATTTCGTTTTCTGAAATTTCAATTGTTATGGAGAAGCACTCTAAGGAACAGAATCGAATCCGGGATTTGCAAATTATAGGTTTATTCACGTTGTTTCAAATAAAAAAAATTTTGCACTTTAAGTGAGATAAATATATTCGATTGTTGATAGAGAAAGTGAAGATGCTAAATGCAAAAAGTGCAAGCAACGCAAACTAAGTCTATTGCTCTTACACGGAGCCACGCGTTATTCTCTACAAGAACATTTTTCGAACGCCTCAATAATTATTGTAAATTTTATGATTAGGTTCTACAATCAACATTCTTCCTTCGTGCACGGCGGATTAGATTCTAATCGAGAGTGTACCCCGGCGATCGGCCAAAAACAAATACATCAGAAGATTCAACAATTGAACTTTCGCGATTGCCATGCCAAAATAAGCCAAGTTGATTCTCAGCTTACTCTTGAAAATGGAGTCGTTGTCCAGGTAAATTACATCAACTTAATATAAGATGAGAATTTAACGTAAACATTAGAAATGATTGATATGATTATAATTGTATTTTAATTAATATTTTAATTAATTTTTAATAGAATTATTAGCAGAAATGTTTTAGTATGCATTAAGATATTGAATATATCATCTTTACGAAGTATTATTAAACTTTTTAGCAACTCGCTTTTTAAATAACATTTACGCTTTGATTTACTTAAAATATCATTTTTAAATCTAGCATCTAATATTGATAACTTCAATAAACATAATTATTGCTTATAACATATTCCTGTTCTATTATCATGTAGGTATCTGGAGAACTGTCTAACGCCGGTCAACCAATGCGTCGATTCACTCAGACTTTCGTATTGGCTGTGCAAGCACCTAAAACTTACTACGTGCACAATGATATCTTCCGTTATCAAGACTTGATATTCCCCGAAGAGGATGAGGCTGACGTGAGTGCTGGGGATAGTGGTGAAAGCGGCGAAAGAGAAGTGGAGGAAATTGGCCGATCTGAACCTGAGGAAGATGAACATCAAACTCAGGCGCAGCAACTATCAGCTCCTGCTCAACCTGCTGAGCAACCAGCTCAACCGCCTCTCATTCCGACTCAGCAACCTCCGCTGCAGCAACAGCAGCCGATGTATTATGCTGCACCACCTCAACCACATGTTAGTATAACAAACATAACGTAAAGGAAGTTAAATGATATCGAACAGCTTACGTTTTTTCAAGATTTTATTTTTTTGGATGGCAAAAATTAAGTACAATATGCATAATATGAAACGTTATTGTTGTATCAAAATTTTTATTATAATCATATTTTTCTTAATATAAAAATAGCATAAATTTTTATGTTTTTAAATGTCATTACATTTTCTTGTTTTTTTTTTTGGTAAATTAGAAGATAGTATTGGACAGAAATATTTATAAGAAATAAATGAAAACCTTTATTCACAGGTCCCACTGTTATCTATGCATGGTTTTAACCTTATCTCTTGCTTCAATAGCTTTTAATCTATCTCCTAATATACTTTTCGGAATATTGTTTTCTTCCCTCTCTATTGTCTTATCTCTTATTTTCTTAACAATTTACTATTTTCTTCTTCTCTTTGCCCTTTTATCTATTCTATATTTACCTAGAACAAAATACAGTCATCAAAAGAAAGGTTGTCTGACACTCAAATGACGCGCAATGAAAAAACAACTTGTGAAACAAAATAAAACGAGAAAGATCTTAAATCCGCTATTTAAAAAATATATGCTATTTATACTAGTGAATTAAAAATGAAATTTGGCTTATAATGTAATGATATGATTGATTGTTAAAGTTAACTTTATATCAGCATGAACAACGGCTATACAACAAAATACACAACTCACAAACAATAAACTGCCTCTATTCTTCATATAGAGAAGTCTTGCTCTCACATACAAGTGAATTTGCTTGATAAATGCTGCCACAGGCTAAAATTATGAACAATTCTTATCTGATACTATTTGACCTTTTATTGCTATTACAGTCGAAAAATTATAAGAGTTTTAAAGTTGCAAACATATTGTATAATACATATAGTTTTTTTTCTGTATGCTCAGGTTTAAATTAGTACAGAATCAAGTATTTTTTAGATTTTATTATAATTTATCATGTTATGCAATTTTCTATTTTTTGTTTTGTTTTTACTGATTAGGTTCATACAGTAATACAGCAAGTGCTAAACGGAGCAGTGCATGAGGAAGTGATTAATCAACAAACATCACAACAACAGCAGCAGCAGCAGCAACAGCAACAACAGCAGCCACAACAACAACCGCCGCCACCGCCTCCTGCACAGCAACATTCATTTATAACCGAACCAGCTGCTCAAACCACATTCGTACAGGAAGCAGAGCTAAGCAATGGTGAGCAGCCACAACAGCAAAGTGAGAATGAGCCACAGGTCCAAACAGAGGAGAGGAGTGAGCAGCCTGAGACAGAAGCATTTACTGCATCCGCACAAGAGACCGAACCTGAACAGGTATCCAGCGCTACTATCAACAGCAGCGGACCCAAGACGTATGCTAATTTGGTAAAGTCTTTCCCAAGCGGTCCCACTGGTGCTACTAGCCCACAAGCTCCTAAATTATCCATGTCTCCAGTAAGTTTTGTTTCGCGTAATGTCATTTTTACAATATGAAAAAACGAATGAATAAATTTCTGTTTCTTTACAGCCACCTATGACGAATCTACGTCTGGACGACAGATCGCCATTGCATCCTGCAAATAACGGGCCGTCGTCTATGTCTGTGTCCAATAATGTATCTACGGTTCACCAACAGGCGCATCGAGTGGGCGGAAATCAACCACCACAACAACAGCAGCAGCATCCTCAGCAGCAACGGGTTCCAAGAGGGGGATTAGTTCAAAGAGGTAAAAAGAACTGGGAACTAGTACAAAGGGGACTAATACAAAGGGGACAAGGTAAAAAAAAAGAAGATAAGATAATTTAGAAGGCAGAATATAAACTTCCATATTTAAAGTAATATGGAAATGAATTCTTTTGGCCACACATTCTTATCTTGATTATTTTTATATTAATTACTTTTTAATTACTTAATTTCTTATTTTTCTTCTTTTTTAATAGTAAATTTCTTGTTTTTCATGTAATTACATGATTATATATCTTAGATGGAGAACGTCGTGGCACAAGATTAGGACAATACAGTGACGCTCATCAATTGTTCTTGGGTAACTTACCACACAACGCTTCTGAAAATGATTTGCGTCAAGTATTCGAACGTTATGGCAGAGTTGCTGAATTACGCGTGCACAGTAAATCAAATGACAGATGTAAAGGTCCCCAAGGTGGAAATAATACCGCTCGAGTACCTAATTATGGATTTATCACGTTTGAGGATCAACAGGTTGTGACCAAGGTGTTAAACTCCTTGGTAAGTTTGTCTCCTAGATATATATTATATAGTGTCTCGTTTAATAGAGACGGAACTTGTTGCTTTTATTATGATTTTAGCCTATCTATTACCCTGACGAAAGTGGACAGAAATTGAATGTGGAAGAAAAGAAGGTAAGACCCAGGCCCATGTTAGATGGTAGTGGTGGCAGATTGAATTCAGGCGATGGTGGCATGCGCTCTATGGGCGGTCAACAGCAGCAACAGCAACAGCAACGTGGACCAGGTAATTTCTAGACTGTTCTTTTTTAATTTAGTAATTTTTTAAGTAAAATTTTTTCATTTTTGCTAATTCATTATTGATTTAATTCAGGTGGACCCGGAGGTGTAATGAGAGGTGGACAGCATGGTGCACGAGGTGGCCGTGGAGGTTTTTCGCGAGGTGGTGACGGTGGTAGGGGTGGTGGCATGCGACAGCCGGGTAATCCGAGTAATCCTGGCTATCAAAATCGTCGCTAATATCGACCACACTATGCAACAACCCCCCTCTAATTTCGTCTCTACTGAATAAAGTCACCGGTACCATACACATCTGTCATCTTCATTTCAAGAAGCGGAATTCAAGACTATTTCATATTTCGCACGACCTCGTCACTGACGCCAATCTTATGCTTAAACGTCGCTTGCAACGTTCGTCAAGCAACAGCAACAACCGACTTTAACTGATGTAGCTCAAAAAAGAATCGTACGAAATATGAGCTCGAACATGAATGGCGTGCTAATCGAAGTCTCGACCGAAGGTTGCTTCTCACACAAGACTTTGAGTTTAATGGTGTGTGTATTTGAAATCATTGGTCAGGCAGGCGATGATCATTGGTTCGAATTCGTCCTTCGTACATCGACAATCGGGCAATCTCACAGGACTGCGACGCGAAGTTCTCATATGCAATCATAGACACATACATATACATACACGTGCAACCGTGCGACAAGAAGAGCATATAGGAGAACGTTGTTGGAGTGTGACAAATTTTAGTGCAAACGGAAAAAGGCAACGGAACGTGATCTGAAATCGGGGAAATTGTGTCGGAACTCTGTGAGGCGATTTCAGAGCAGTGCGCAACATTCGTCACTCCGCGCGTTTCCTCCGGTTCGCCAAATCGCAGGACGAAAAGGCAACGGAGCGAATTCCGGTGCACACACACAAAGCGCGCGCGCATACATACACACACACACACAAATACATACACACAACCATACACATATCACATAACCAAGCAAGATCGAAGCGAATGAAGGAGCGTCGCTGTGACATGCATAAATCTCATACGCTTTTGAGTCGACTCATCAACCACTAACGAAAACGTCCCGTTGCCCCAAGGGAAGAATCAACGTAGATAAAAATCTCACAGAACAAATCGTTACGAAACGACTACAGGATCCCAAGACTATGTCCCGGTTGCACGCAGCAGAAAAAATTAATAAAAGGAAAGGCGACAGTTTCTTTTCTTCTACGATCTTCTCCTTTATTTATATTACTGATCATCGATTGATCGGTGTCGATCGTAGACAGGACAATGCTTCTAACCTGCAGTAACTGGTCTCGCCGTTTTCCTCGCTCCATCCACATGCAATCCTGACCGCGTCACGTTGCAGTTCGGAACTTTTTGTTCGTGCCTATCTTATTCCTGGTCTTACCTTCCTTCCCTATCCCTTTTCTTCTAGAAACACATCTTTCTGCGCTACTCTGTTCTTTCTTCTAAACTCTTTCTATTCTAGCATCTACCTCCCTTTTCCTTCACATACATACTTATTATTACTTTCGTTAGATAAAATTAATAAGGATCGCGCACGTGCATGGTCTGACGTTGTATCGCCCGATCGCTAAATTATCAGTTGCATGATAGCGTTTTCACAAGAGTCAATAATGTCTCCTGGTAATCACAGAATTCGTACTACGCCAAGCATTAAATGTGAGCATTAAAACTGTAATCGGCTCGAAGCGTGGAAATGCGTCCAACGTAGGAACAGAACATTTTCGTGCTATGTGAGCAACATCTTTTTTGGAATATTACGCCACTAATTTCTTTCTAAACAATATTATCTGTTCACATTTTTTGACGAAGTACATTCGTATGTTGTAGACTGCTTAGAGTATGAAGCAAAACAAGAGTTCTAGTCAGCAACGCTCACAAGCAATACACGAGAAGAGTCCTGTGATTATTAGAGATTGGGCGATGCGTGTGTCTTCTCCTGGCCTATCAGCCTTCATTCCTTTACAAAACCAACGGAATTTTGGAAGCGAATGGAAATTTGCGCGATATTGTTATAGAAAGTAATGTCAAGCAAATTTTTAATTTTCCATTTTTATATTTTTGAAAAACGAAAAAGGCATTAAAAATTTGCGTTTGACAATAAGTGGTGATAAAGAGAAAGAGAGAAATAGACAGAGATGGAGAGAGATAGAACGAGGCTGCGTTCGGGTAGAGCGCTATCATCGCTATTTATGTAGTGCTATTCTTGTCTCACGTCTAATGAACGATGAAGATAGAATAACACAAATAGCACTAATAGCGTCTCTCCGAATCCAACCCGAGAGAGAGGGAGAGCGAGCGAGAGAGAGAGAGAGAGAGAGAGAGAATGAGAGAGAGAAAATTTAGTTTGTATTTTTCGTCGTGTGATCAAGATCATCGTGGAGATTGTTAATGTAGATCACGCACGAGCGCGACTCCACATCCGTAGTAGTAGTTTGTAATATTGAAATGAAAAAAGTAAAAAAAATCTCGTCGCGATGCCCCGCGTCTGAGACACGGCGACCGCGCCCCCTCTTCGGGGGCCCTGCCTCGATTAACGTTAATTTTTTTTAAGCATGCACTCTAGGGATTAATATTCGTCATGTAGTATTATACGCGATGTTAGTGTCTCGTTTAACAAGACTCGGGACAGTGACGACGTAACGATGACGATGACAGACTGACAAGTGACAATGATATAATGACAATGGCGGCAATGATAACGCGGCCGCTCTGACGCAGACGCGGACAAAGGGATAGGTTTCGCGTGGCTGCGATTTGCTTTTTTTTTCGGCAAGTAATTAAAAATAAATAAAAACGAACGAGCATCTCGAATATGCGTTCTCGTTGTATAACATTTCGCAACTTTTAAGCCTATCTTTCCGTTATTAGGTATTATAAAAAAAAAGCGCTGCGTAGGAAGTAATGAAGGTTCGACCGAAGTTTTAAATCCTATTCCTTTATAAGTTAGTTTAGTAACGCGCGGAAACGTATTTCCGAAGTTTTGTCGGTAGTTATCACGTAATTGGCATACTTTAATATTGTTAAAAAAATACGAAAAAAAAAAGAAAAATTGATCATTAAATCTGAACTAGAAATATACAGGATGGAGCACTCAACTTTATCACTTCTCTCTTCCTTGCGACAAAATTTTGCGTATGTAATTATGAAAGAGAGGATTGCAAAATTAAGATAGATCACTTTCATGTCCCTTTCATTCAATTACAATAATTTTATTGTAACATAAAAATTTAGGTTTACTTGGGCTACTAACAACCATCTTCGAGAATATCTTTTTTTGTATTTTCGAAACATCATTGTATAAACATATTTATATCTTTACATGAAGCCCTCTTTACCATCCCGTAAAACATACCAAGAGCACGTTGTGATCGCATTATTCATTACAGACTCTTTTAACACTTCGACTGAAATTTCACCTGCAATTTCTTGGAAACCATGGCATTCTGATAAAGATTAAGAATTTTACCTCTCACTTCAGTCACGTTTCGAATGACAAATACGAATTAAAATATTATAAGAGTCATTCGCGTTCATAAGTGCCATAATTCCCAAGAATATATGAATATCATGCACATAACTGTAAAATATAGCAGTCAAAGTGTTAAAGAAGAAATTAAATACTTGAATATAGTATGGTGATATTAGATACAGCTCATGCTCAGTTAAGGCAAAATTTTTGCAGTGACTTGCACTTTGTTTAGCATATATATATATATATTTATCGCTTTAACGAGATTTAAATTAATACTGCAATGGTAAAATGTTTCTCTTTTCACGGTATGTGAGAAATAAATGTGACATTAGAAAGAGAGATTTCAAGACATTTGAAGCGCCACAGCAGCTTCACAACTTTGTATACATATGTAGAGCATATTTAAACGAATATTTGTATGGCTAAGCGAGAATTGTCATTCTTATCTAGATCCTCTTGTACATTAAACGGTAAACCATCTCCATCTTTTTTATCCCAACTTAAGATCGATTATTCATTCGACACTTGTTTATCAATCAGCGCAATCGTGCAAACGTAGAAAGAGAGAAAGAGTATTTTGAGCTGATCGATATATAGTTGTTTAATATTTGAAATCGCAGATTATTACTTCCGATTTTCGCGTGCCACCTAATACAGTATAAAATATTACATATTATACGCGCGCCGTTTGACTTCACTACGTCCTTATCCATGTGCATATCCGTGTGTTCAAGTACAACGTGTTCAAAGCCGCAGTTACGCGAGATCATCGCTTTACATAACTTGAAAGAGAGCTCTGCAAATTTTTAGTGTGAATGTTTTCGTTTTTAAGTAACTATTAATATTAATAATAAAGATAAATATAATAACGAACGAAGAAAAGAGAGAGGATATGAAGAAAACACAAATAACTGTAATAATTAAAGGACGGCGGTTGATAAGTTATGAATTTTTGTAGAATACATTATTATTTTGGTCTGCCAGGCCAATTTGTGTGTATAACCAATTGAAACGTTACTGCGATAAAAGACGGATGGGAGAATAATGTTAAAAGGAGAAAAAAAAAGTGGAAAAAAAAACGAACATCAAATGTATTGTAACTTTTTGCATTTAGTATAATATATATATATATACATACCTTATACTACCAACCCCTATTATAGCATCTCTTTATTTATCGTAACACGCTCACCTGTTTGGTATGAACTTTATTAGCTGGCTTCGCGCATAGAGTCACGTTTCCTCTATAATCGGCTTTGCCGAAACTGCTGAGCAATCTGTGGATTCATCTGCGTTTGATGGCGGTTGAGAATAAAATGTACGACGAAAATAATGATATTATCTGCACACAGAATTTTTAATTTCTCATAAAATGCAAATCTTGGTAAAAACAAATACTATAACACAGATTTTTCATTTTTCCTTAATTTTACTAATTTTTTTTAATCGACTATCGATTGATATATTGAAACTATATAGTTGAAAATGCATTTCTCCTCTATGAAGTTTTTTACATTTTAATTATTTTTCTAACTTTAATTTAAAAAAAAAATCTGCTCTCTAAATAATGTAGAATTTCATTCTAGAGAGCGAAAATTGAGCCCGTTTTGATTCACTCTAAAAGTTTTGGTGTATCATATTATTTTCATCAAATTTATAATCAGGACAAAAGTTACAGGAATGTTTTCGTAGACTGATTATTCTCTCGGACTGACACCACCCTTCATTCGAGTGTTTTATCTGAATTTCTGCAAGTCGGAGTAACTTCCAGGATGCCAACGTCGAAATTCGTCGAGACGAATGAGAATGTTCGAGTTATCGTCGAAGTGATCGGTTGCGTATATTGCGTAAGAATGTGACTGCGGGGCACACGCATACGCGTACGACAGAAAGATCAGATGAGGGTGTAGGAAGAGAGAAAAACGCAAGAGATGAGATCATCTCTCCTCTATGGCCGCGCGTTCCGCTCGGCGCGGCGCGGCACCGCGCCGCAATGTGCCTCGCGAACGCAGTCTGTACCGGTCCAGCGACCGATTTGGAGGGCTGTTCTTTTCTCAATCTTTCTTGCTGAAGAAGAGAACTGAGTGAACGACAGAAGCGGTTTGCGAAGAAAACCAACGCGAGGTATGGTAATCTTAAGATTTTTTATTTTGTATGTTGTCTTGCCAAATTATCGTTTTAAGATTAAAAAATATAATTTCTACTTTTAAAATATTCCCAAACACCTCACTATTTTTATCAAGTAATATAACGTATAAATAGTCCATTTAATTATTTATCCAAGTAGATCATCATTATATTGTAGAAAATTATGTTGACCATTAAAATATCTTGCGTGTCTTATTAATCTTAATAATTTTATAAGTAGATTAATTCCACGCGCGTTAAAAATAATCTAAATGATATTTTTTTACAAACATACTAGTATATCATCTAATATATGTATATTATAAATATACATTATATTATTTCCAAGTAATACATTCGTACAATGTCGACTTTTTTAACACTTTTAATTCTAATTTATGCATTAAATTATTTTTTATTCAGTAAATAAATTATCTTTAGATGTTTGTGTATAAATGAAGGACGATCGTAATGTATAATATTGTAGAATAAGCAGGTACGTGAATGCGTCTGAATTGCGAAAAGTATAACCGGATAGACGACGCATGGAAATAGATTGCCACTGTAGGTAGCTGGCAATCAGAATTCAAAAAGGGCCTTCAGAAAAACTTTTTCATGAATGATTCTAGCGGTTTTCTTATTTTAACGAAGTTATTTTTTGTATTAAGAAAGTTCCTTGAGCTTCTTATTGTAATAGAATTAGTGTCTACCTCTCGAAGTTTACATCGTCAATTTTTATCGTCAGATTGGAAGTATCTTTACAGCTTGAGTAAAATAACTGAAGAAGATAAAAGTGAATGTTCTTCAAATGAAATTACCGCGATAAAAATATCTTAACCATAATTTTCACACAGCGGTTAATATGAGTCACTTGCACACGAAGAATTGCATACGATGAACGTTTTATATCAGTGGGCGGTACTCACAACTATAATACTTATCTCTTGTCATATGTTTCTCGGAAATTGTGTCCTTTCTGGGACGGAAATCCAACATCCTTTGTTCATCGAAGCGATTATGCGCAAATTAAGGAAAAGACATGTTATCGTTACACAATCATTTACTAAAAATCTCGCGTTACCTTTAAATTATAATACATTACGTTGTATCGGTTATTACAACTGCCACAAAGTTATGAATGAAAAAGTATCAATTGCGACAAGTAGCGTAAATTATATAGGTCTGTTTTTTATTACTACACTAGAACTTTTTTCTCGTTTTTGCCAAATATCTATTTTACTTTAAGTTCCAAAAGTGTACACTATTTTAACTGCGGAAAGTAGACCTTAAATGTACGAAAAATTTATGATTTTCTATAAGCGACTTAAAATAGAAGTGATGCCCTGTACTTGTTATTTCCAGTAGACCATTCATTCGACCTCTTCCCATTTCGCGATACTACGCCACATGATATCCCGGGAGTTCAAGACTATAAAGATCGATAAGAAAAGATGCGAATTTATTTTTTAGTACTTATTCTTCCATAATGAGGAACATGTAAGCTTACATGTAAGAGGAATAAGTACTAAAGCGTTCTTTGGAAAGCAAGAAAGAATAACGATGAACAAGCTATTATAGATAAATACACTCCTAACTCAGAAAACATTTGCTCGAGCTGTACTTACATCGTCGTATTACATACAATTTCAATAACAATATCTCTTCTCTTTCCTTAGAATTATTTTACGGAAATGGATTTGCGAGCAATTTTTCCATTAGAATTTATATGTATGCGTTCCATACGTTTATTATTCGTAATAATATCAAATTGTGCGTAAACTTCCGCTCGTCGACAAGCAGATTGAACGAGATGAATCGAATCAACGCATTTAGTTGGAGTATCTCGTCAGCAAACTATGCGCAGTTAACTTTTAATTCCGCGTTGGCGAAGTTGGCACATAAAACTAATAATGAAGAAACATTCCTGATGAGATGTTCCCAATTTTATGGGATTTTGACTAATTTAAATAGAATATAAACGAAATGAATAAAATATAAACAAAAATAAAACCGAAATGAATTTTTTACAAGCATGATTCCATCTAGGTATGTTATTGTATTCTATTTTGATGGAACATTCTGTTCCCACTTCAAATGTTTATCCACTTTTTGCAAAACTTTTTAACAATAGAAGCGTGAATATTTGTTTTATTTTGTTTTATTTTTATATAATAAACATCCATTTACGCTTTTTCAGAACATGTAACCAAAAGCGTTTTGATATTTGTTTTATTAATTTTAATTTAAAATTGATATAAAATTTATTATTGTTCTGTAATTATTCACGCGTGCGATTGCTTTTTATTTCATCGCACTTTGGAATAAATTGTACCCATTGCTAACTTGTGTATTATTAGACATTCAGTCGCGTAACTTTAAATGTAATTGTAAAGGACTCCTTTTCTCCACGCATACATTAATCAGTCCTCATCTGCAGGTTTTCGTTCATGTTATAGGTATGCAAATTAGATATCTCCAGATCGATTCGCTATAAATCAATTTTTCTCAAAAAGCTTCAATATAGCCTTCTTCGTTAAGAAGAAGAACCGATTGTTTACAAAGAGATCAGTTTAAGATAGTCCTTCTTAAGTCCAGTTCCACAATTCGCGGTTAATTCTTAATTGAGATTTAACTTGTTTCTTATCTCTCTCCAATTATAGAGATGAAAATTAAGTTACACCTCGGTTAAAAATGTTGTGGGGAACTGGGTTTTAGTTTAAAAAAATCAATCTTTTGCAAAATAGATCAGTTTAAGATCGCTATTATCGTTTAGAAAAATTGATCTTTTGGAGATTGGAACATTCCTAATATGCGAACTTCGTTGTTGTGTGTAAAGGTAATAATAATAGCAGCGATTTTTTTTTTTTGAAGGAATTACATTTTCGTTCCTTTCATCTATTTGTAGAGGCGTTTCGCCCACGTTGGCGGATCGCGCGATAAAAAAAAAGGGGCCATGTGCCGCGATTCCTACGCGCGCGGCTGCGTTGGAGAACCAGCGTTTCCGGAGAAACCGCGCGACGCATCGCGAACGCACTTCGACGTCGAGATGACTGCCGAGCGATTATTGCGACCGGCATGACATGTTCTCTATATGGAGAAAACTCGAAACCTTAATACCTTACTTATGGAAACCTTTACTCTCCTCTCGTTCAGTTCGGCTACGCGGTTACGTATTTAATAGCGATCGAAATGAAGAATTACGCAACATTTTCAGAGAAATCGCAAATGCTTGACAAGATTAATTTCTCTGAAATGTAAATACTTACGATTGTTGTCAAACCGACTACTGAATCAATCGAAGAGAATTATAAAAATTAAGAAATTAAATTGTAAAAACGCAAAATGGACTACATATACTAAAATGTACTAAATTTTAATAAATAATTGCTTGAATAGTATTAATGTAACATTTATTTACGAAATTAAAAAATTTTAACTAAATAAAAAAATAATAATGATTGAACCAAATTAATGGTTCTTGTACTAAATAAATATAATATGTTTACATTTATTATATATTCAACTAACGCTATTTAAACAAATATTTATTAGAATTTAGTACATTTTTTCTTAGTATGTTATTTTTTCATCTTTATATTTTTGACCAAATTTTTTTAGTTTATGTTTTGATATATGATTTATAAAAAGACATTCAGCTCTTGTATAGATATTTGGAAATAGTATACCAACATTATATATATATGTTATACTACAGAGTCTATAAAAGCTACATATATATATTATACCAGACATATTTTTTACTTTGAATTAATTCTCCATAAAACTCTTATTGCAAAAAATTGTCTACGAGACAATTTAGTAAAAATAGATGTACGTTTACGCAATGTACAAATATATATAAAATCTTACTTTTAAACATTTAAAATTGAAACGTTCCTTTTTACTAGTTTAATTTTCACTTTTTAGAGTGAAATTCTACTTCAAAGAATTTAGAGAACATATACAAACTGCATTGATTTTATGTCTGGTTCCAATTGTTTGTATCACGTTATTTCCTTGGTTAGCAGAAAGCAAAGAAATAACGTGCGTTGTCCTCTGAATTCATGAGCTGATCGAAATATCGACTTAACGAACTGCGGACATCTCATAAATACTTAAATCGGACGGAACACTTGGCGGTAAGCCGAGTAATGTGTTCAACATATAACAGGAAACTCTGTTTTTTTATTAACCACACAAACGTCTATACATAGTATTGTCAGGATATTTATATTGCGACGATGTCGGGCAATGTGTATAGAGTGTAAATTTCACACGAGTACATTATCCAAGTCCATTTGAACTCTTTTTTAATCATTTAAATGTCAGATTGATTATTTAAATGAAAGATTGAAAATAATATGCATATAATCTGAATAAAAAGAATTTTTAATCTTATTTAAAATAGAGTTTCAATCTTAAAGAGAGTGAGATTTTATTCTTATAGTATAAGATTTACATTAAAATTTTAGAAAATATATTTGAACATTGTGTGAACGGATTTATTTTTACTAAATTGTGATCCAATATAGACAACTTTTTAAAATAAATTTAATTAAAAATTGACATATCTTGATTCATTTAACTTAAAAAGAATCTTATAATTATTAATGCTTTGACTATCACACGAATTTTTGTAATTTCTAACGCCATAATATTATTTTACATCTATTATAATTTATAAAAATAGATATAAATTGGTATATAATTAAAAATTTCACGTTTTTAAAAATATTTATGAAATGTGTGTATTCAAATTAATACAAGAGGCGCATAGGACTTACATAAGTATGTCCAATTGGATATACATATGACAGTCCAAGTATATTTGTATTTTAAATATTTAAATAATATCGTGTTTAAATAAAAGTTGTACATACTACGTGTACACGGAGATTACAGGATCATGTAAATCTGTGAGGTGAACTCGTACAAATTTCATCGCGTTCAAATTTCATCGCTGACGAAGGCAATAACCGATTGCTGACGTTACGTTACATGGGCGCGTCCTTCGTTGTTATTAAAGCGCTTGCAATTAAGTCGGCGACACGTAAACCGATTGTATCATCCGCGAAAGGCAACGAGAGCGAAGAGACGAGACGTGCGAAGAAAAAGGCAGTGTCGTAACGAAGTCATATATTAAAAGCGCGCTCGTGACTTCGTCCGAATGCGTATCCGAAGCGACTTGATTTTCAAATATCTGGGTTATCGCTTCGTTGCTCCTATTAAGGTCCCGCGAGATTTATCTCTGCGGTCTCTCGCGTTGACCCGCGCTCGCGTTGTTCGATGCGTGTGCGTTCGTGCGTGCGTGCACGCTCGTTCGCGTTGCGTCGTCGATTTTTTGGAACAGTACGAGTGTCGCAAGGAAATGTCCACTCGTCTTTCATGGCCGACGTCAAAACTGGAAACGGCGCGGCAATAAAGCATTACGCGCGAGAAATGATTATTTAGCTTGCACCCGATTTAGCTCAGGGATATTAACCCCTTTCGACGCACCGAGAACAAAAAAAACTTGGATATATTCCCAGAAAAAATCTCAACTTATCCGCAGATGCTTTCACGGCGCATACAGAATTCGGGTGCTTCCATAAGTCTTTTCGATGAATAGGATCCTCGAGGGGTAGAATCCGATTGGCAAATAGAGCTCTCGCTCGATTGATAATAATCCGAGTTTCTAGGAATTTACTTAAGAGGTGAAGCGGAGGACTAAAATATAGTTTACGTTAAATCCTCCTTTCTGAATCGTGGTGGTTAATTTGATCAATTACGCCGAACCAATCTTCTCTAGAGCGACTTACGAAGATATGATATATCCTATAATGAATGGGTCGTAGTTTACGAGACTTATAAATTGCCAGTAACGGGAACGTGTTTGAAATAGTAAAGATAATGCTGCTCTCTGGATGCTATCAAACTTCGTTAAGATTGAGATCATTCTACTTTAGATTGATTATTTTAAAAGGGAAGCATCTTGCGTGTACTTTACTTACCGTCGATTTGTCGCAGGGATCGCAATGTCGACGAAGCTGCAGCTGCTGTTGGTCGCGTTGCTGGTGGCGGTTCTAATAGTGGACGTGTCATCTGTTCAGGTATTATTGTCTTTTAATGATATATGTCGCGCAATATAATTTTTTTAATCTTAAAATCATTATGCTCAAAATTATCGTAGCCAAACAGGAGAACTCTACTCACTGAAAAAAACTTGAAAATACTTTTAGAGACTAAAAAAATTAAATTATTTTTAATAAATATTTGTTTGAATAATTTTAAGTAAACATTTACTAAATGTAAAAATATATTCATTTGATGAAAACCATTGATTTGATTTAACTACCTTTTTTTTACAAGTAGATATTTATTCACTGTAAGTAAATGTTTATTACTTAATTATTAAATGGCTATAGTCTTTAAATGTTCAAAACATATAAAACTCTTTTTAAGATTCTGTTAAGAAAATATATTATTATAGAATATATAATTTTTAATTAATTAGTAATATAAATTTCTTTTTTATATGATAATTTTTAATTTAATCCTCCGTTTCTGTTTAAATCTTTGTTAACATTTCTCTGCAAACATTTCTGTGTAAACAATGTAAAATGTTATGGTTTAAAACTTTTAAAGTGAATTTTATTTCGAAGAGTAAAACTTCACTTTTAAAAATTAAAAATTGAGTTACACTTTCAAGACTAGCTCAATTTTTATATTTTAGAGTGAGATTCTCACTCTAAAAAGACTTAGAGAAATAAATAACGCTGCAAATGTTAAATATAACACAATAGACAAAAGATGTAGACTCGACTAAATATAATGTGCACTAGAAATAATATGCACTACGAGTAATTTTCAAAGTTTTCAGTTTCTTGGGGAAAAAAAATGACAAACGCGAGAAGTACGTAAAACTTTCTACAGTATTTTACCCGCTCATTTTTTACCGTTAAAAATATTATGAACTTATAAAGTACGAGGCAGGGAGAAAAAAAAAAGAGTATTAATCGAAGTTTATATTAATCGGTTCCTAGCGCAGACGAAAATATCGGCGTCGCACGACCACAACAGAGGCACCCGTGCAAGATGAGATCATGAACATGCTGGAGGCTGACGAAATAGCCGAGGAGGCGGCGACGGCGGAGGAGGCTGAGGTCATTCTTGAAAATGGCAGAAACGAGCTTGGATCGAAGCAGGAGCGTTTGCTCCAGGACCCGTGCATGGACAAGCACTGCGGCGCTGGTCGTGTTTGCAAGGTTCGCCGAGAAAGCTCTCTTTCATTCATGAATCAAAGATAATTGCTTTACATTGTATATTAATATACTTATATATATGCACAAGGCGATCAATGATGATGTTTCATGTAAATTCACGCACTCAAAAATAAATAAAGACTTAACTGCTTCCTGGTATTCATCTGAAATTAAATTTCCAATCTTGCCTGTCAAGACCCATAAATTTCAACGTTTATTTGTTCATTTATATTTTTAGAGTTCGTGATTTGTTAAATAACTTCTAATAAAATAATGTATGCTTAATGCAATTAAGGTGTTTCTAGTAACATAAATTAACTTCAATCTCGGTTTTTATTTTTTTTCTATTGTGTAAGAATTGGAAAAGTATTGTATAAAAAATAGGAAAAACAAGTTGAGTCAAGATAAAAATTAATCTACATTGTGATAGAAATAAACGAAAGTGCCAAACGTGGAAGTAAAAGACATAGAGACTGAAATGTGAAATAAGGATTTTGTTCTCTCTTCAAGACAGACAGGAATAAAAAGGAAAATGGAATTTCTTCGATTTTAGAGTACGGAGGAGGGCACGGCCGAGTGCGTTTGCGTGGAGCTCTGCAACCAGGAGGTCGATCCGCGTCGCAAGGTCTGCACCAACTACAATGAGACCTTGGGCAGCGACTGTGAGGTCTATCAAGCGCGTTGTTTCTGCGACACCGGTGACGCCAGGTGCAGAGGTCCCGACTATCAACATGTTCACATCGTTTACTATGGCGAGTGCCGACAGATGCCTGTAAGTATCATTCTGTTACAGGTGTGACAGAAACGCTTCTTATACAAGATAAGTGTACTCATTTTCACATAATAAACTGTAATCGAACAACATTATTGTTCTACCTGTTAACTGATGTATCTGTCTCAGTGATTTTCGACTGAAAATAACTTTAAACTTTCTAAATGTTGTGATTTGTAAACTAAGTACTATTTGTAATCTATTAGAAATTAGATTATAAATTTTTTGTCAAAAATATCAAACAATTTCATTTTCTTTATGATACATCTACAAATTTGAATTATTCTTATTATTAAAATATCTTTAATATTTATTCTTTTTTTTTAAACGAGTTATTTTAATTCCTTCAAATAAATTAATACCTTCTAATTAACATAAAATAGCTCAGAGAACAATATGCTTAAAACGTGGATATATTATTTTCTAGAAGATAGATCGAGCGTCAATAAATGTGTTACAAATTTTGGCATCAGTTTCGGAAAGAGTTATAAATTATTATCGGCAATAAAATACCGAAAACAATGTCTTCAAATTTTTCGATTCACACATATAATAAATTCTTTAATGCGCCTAGATGTGCAAGGAAGAGGACATGGCCGACTTTCCAAGGCGAATGCGCGACTGGCTATTCAACATCATGCGCGATTTGGCAGACCGTCAAGAGTTGTCATCGCATTATCTGAAGATGCAGCGCGAAGCTGAGACCAATCACACTTTGCGCTGGACGAACGCAGCTATTTGGAAGTGGTGCGACTTGGACGGCCATCCACATGACCGAACGGTGTCTAGACACGAGCTTTTCCCGATTAAGGCGCCCTTGATGGCCCTTGAACATTGCATCGCGCCTTTCCTTGATTCCTGTGACATCAATAACGATCACAAGATCACGTTGATTGAATGGGGCAAATGCCTACAACTCGACGAGGTATCTCTTCTTTTTTCTTATTTTTCTCAAGAAACGTTAATAGAATATTAACCCTTAGATTTCTTACAATAAGCTGTTATCTAATCTTAAGTCATATGAAATAATAGTCGATTATTCTTCTCACATTTGACTGCGACTAATTAAATTTCTTATAGCTTGACTTAAAACTTATATAATAGCTTATTGTAGAAAGTCTATTACAGTACACACACATGATGATTTTCGAGAACTTTACTACATTCGATGGGTCATTTGTGGATTATTTTCATAATTTTGACAAATACACAAAATGATTCTTACATATACTTTAACGTCTTTAGAAAGTATCTGATATAAAATTGTGTATTTAAACAAGTTGTGTATATAAATGTTACAACGTCTTCTTTCTTCTTCTTCTTCTTACGTTAGGTCTCTGACCTGTGTTACATATATGTTTGTGCGCACTCTAGTTATTCAATTGCCACAAGAGCATATGGAACTTACAGTTTTATTGCCGGTTATTCCGAACGGCGGATTTTTTAAGAGTTGTTTCTGTGGGTAAGATAAGAATACTCCCGGGAGGTTACCTTTTCCGAGAAGAAACATGAGTGTAAATATTTTGGTTTCTACCAGAGGGATCGAACTCGAGGCCTCTGGCATAACAAACCAATGCGCTGTCTGCTACTATATGCTATACGCTCGCATTCAAATGTTATAATTAATTATTTAATATACGTAGATTTTCGAAGAAAGAAACATGCAATTAACCGTTATTAAGGATTAAAATCTTGTAAATCCTTTATACTAATTTTATTTTTATCACGCAGAAACTTAATTAGATTTGTTTTCTAGACGTGGACGCATCATGTGTACATTTCTCAAACTGTTTTGCAAATATTGTGATATAAGATGTGTCACGATTATATTATTTATGTGATATAACGTGAATACATTATATTCGTGTTAAATATATGCATGTGATTTAATATAAATATGTGCATGGAATTTGTAAAATAAGAATTTGTGATTTATTTTACTTTTTATTAATCACAGATGTATACAAACAAAAAGTAAGATTGATGATACAAAAAGTAAACGTTGGCACGTTGGTTAAATTATAACAGTAAAAAAATCGTTTATTCTGAATTTTAAAATAGTAATACATTTTTACAATTTAACGACTATGCGATCATGTAATTTTTAATACTCTGCACGCTGCTTCTTATTTATACAAACATACCTAGTTTTTATATTTAATTGCGAGCTGCAAACATCTCACAGCTTTACATCTTGCAAATTATTTTTTTGAGAAATATTATACTATTTGTATAACGAAGAAAGAAAAGGAACAAAAAAATATTCCTCTCTTCTCAGGAAAACAGATAAAAAAAGAATATCTTGAGACACGTACATATGTATTTATATAGAATTCTTTATACGGACTTTTCATTAACGTTTTGTAATCAGTATATACATAAAGTCTTTGTATTAATAAACAGAATATTTTTTGACACAATTATAAATATACACTGATAAAAATGTTCTGATTAAATCAATAGAAGGGCATAACGAGAATGACACATTGATGAGAACAAAAAGAATTTTTGATGATGCTAACAAAGGGTTGTCACATTAAAATTTTCATATTTATGGGTTAAAAGCTTCGGACATTTCCCCGGATAGAATATTTATGATGAATATTTATTATTCATTCTTTGAAATATTATATAAATATTTTATACATATTTCATATAAAGCTTTATCCAAAACATTATTAAAATATAAACTAAATACTTTATGTAATATTTTATGATAAATACAAGTATAAATATTTTTAGTAATATTTTTTACTTAAATTATAATGTTTTATTAAATATATTTTCATAGCATTTACTACGATATTTACAGTAAATATTTCACAATAATTGTAATAAACATTTATGATTTGTACAATATATTATAGAATTACAAAAATATTTACAAAATATTTAAAAATTTTATAAATATTTATAAATATTTTGTCCATATTTCATAAATATTGTGTGCTGTCTGGATCGCTTATTACAATCTTGGACGCATATGGAAATGCGTGTAGGTTAGTAGTATAATCGATCAAAACAGTCAATAACAATAGTTATTTCACATTCATGTGTTCATTAGTGGTGTTAATTTAATAGGAATTGATCATAGGCTATAATATGGTTCGATTCAAAGAGGATTGGTCCGATTCATGCTCACGGCGGCGCGGCGCTCACAGGTTCTCACGATACTAATGATCGATTCGATTCGTTAACACTATATAGTATCAGTGCCTTATTAGCGCTCCGACGCAATCGCCTCATATAATCACGAGGCACATAATCTGTGCATTGTTTTTAATAAAAATCTCACAATCGATATTTAATATAAAGTCCATAAGCGTAGTTGTAAAAATTGATCAATCGCAATAGTATATTTTTCTCATATTTGACAGTGATTGGTCAGTTTTCATAACTACAATTACTTACAACTATGCCTACACAATTATAGATTGGACTTGAGACTGCTGTATTATAATTGATAAAAATTGCATTTGAGAATTCGAAGTAGATATAACGTATTGATTAAATAATCATCCCCCATATTTTTATAAATACAGTTCTGATATTTTAGAAAAAAGATTTGAATATTGATTATACGTATAAACTTTTTGCAATTAAATTAAAATATATAAATTCAAATAAATTGTATAATTATCTAAATAATACTTAAATACAAAAATATAAAACAACTACGGTAACCTATTCTAGACAAATATTCATACTTCTCTGCAAACATATATACATATTAGAGTGATTCTTAATATGTATATTAACGTCACTTTGCTCAGAGAATGAATCGGATCGACCGTGAGAACACTGATAGAACTGTATAAGAGTGAATCGGACCACCAGGGTCGAATGTTCTTCTTGCTTCTAGCATTCGACTGATTGGTCAATTTCTTAAAGATTACTACTACATTTATTGTAAATTCTGAATAATATATACAGAATAGTGTAGGAGAAATCAAAGCAAAATATTTAAAAACTTCCCTGAAATCTCGGATGCTCATATTTCGGATGCCTTTTGAAAATTCCTCGGATGTTTCTGAACGTTCTAAAAAAGGAAGACGGTATCCAGGAAAAAGAGGATGAGAATAACTCTTTATGACTGATATTTATAGTCAATTTTAATATTTAAGAAGAGAAAGAGAGACTGTCTTAAATACAGTCTTAAAATGTCATAAACTAATATCAATCATAATCGATTATTATTCTTCTCACATTCAACTATGATTGGTTCATTTTTTACAATTTAAAACTTAAAACTTAAGTAATAGTTTACTTTATAAAAAGCCTATTACACACCTCCATTTGTCTTAAATACAATCGTAACATATCATAAAGTGACATTTTTTTACAATAAGATTTTAAGGCGTAAATCTTAGAAGTTTTAAGCCTTAAGAAATTGATTAATCGTAGTCGATTGTTCTCTTCATATCCAACTATTTGTTTTGATATACAAAATATTTATATATTTTAAAAAATATATATAATATAATAAATATTTATAAATATTTATTACAAATATTCTGTGCTGTCTGGATAAGACATTATGCAATCTTGAATAAAATATCCAGAAATTCGTATATCGGATTCCAAAATGTCATTCTCGTTAAGCTCCTTTGTTAATCAGAACACTTTTCTCAGTGATATAAAAGATGCCTAAAGAAATGTTCGATCAAGTTCCTTTCATATTCGACAAAAACATTTAATTAAAATTGAATAATTTTCTCAATCGTAATGTACGTCAATAATGATTATAACGGCAATTTCAGGACGACATAGAAGAAAAGTGCGATGAACTAGCGGAGGCAAATCATCAGGAGCAATAGTAGAGAATCCGAGCCGGGATCTGAAGCTCGCACGTTGCGGCAGAGCAAAACACGATTATTGTTTAAAAATTTTTTATGAGAGACAGACACACACTTCTAATCAGTTTTCGAAATTTCGAATCACCCACGACATTTTGCTGCCGCAACGTGCTACGCTTGGAAAGTCATCCGGAAAAGTCAGCATATGAGAGGGACAACAACAGCACGAGCGACGCGGAATGGGACGCGCCGGGCGAGCAGAATAACGGACGGTGAGGGTCGGCGAGCGGGAATAGCCGGGGAGGACGCGAAGGACGCAGGTGACGCGCAGGGCAGGCTAGGGCAGAGGAACGGCGAGACGAGGGACGGCGGCTGGGTAAAAATGGCGGGAAAAATCCCCGCCAACGCGCGCGCGCGCGCGCAAGGGGGCGCCAGCGCGCAGGTTCCGCGCGCATCGACGAGTCGATACCGCGCGGACGAGAGAGGCATCGTCGTCGATGCTGATATGGCACTCGAGGCCTGCCAACCGACAATTAACCGAACAATTCGACGCCTCAATAATACAGGCGCCGTTATCATCGTCCGAGACAGCGAGATTCGCGATCACAGGCCCGATATCGTGGTCCGGGTTGCGGGGAGAAATTCGAATTTCCGCGTAATCGAACGCCCTCGCTCGTCGATGCTCTTCGATATTTAGAATCGCATGATGCAATTAATTCGAATTTAAGCGTCAACCGAATGCGATACGTGATTCACGTATATAAACGTATAGAAAATGTCTACTTCGCGCGCGCGGAAGCAAACGGCGAGACCTATGGGAAACAATTACGAAAGCAATTTCCATTACGAGGATCGTTTGGATGCTTTGAATTCGAATAATACGCGAGCGTGTTTCAATTATGAGCGTATATATAAACGAAAACTTGCTCGGGCTGCGGATAGAAGGGATATATACATCGTCCGTTCCTTGAAGGGAGAGGCAGATTCGTTTGTACAATATGTTTATATAATCGCGAGGCTAAAAATAAACGCAGCGGGATGCTTTATCGACGAATGAGCAAATTCTGAAATGTTTGAATAGCGTCACGGGGGTGGATATTTACATTTATTACGTGCCATTTCATAATCACTCTACCGAAAATCCGCGAAACGTTCGCTCCGCCGTTCGACAATCAGCGAAATGTCAAGACGTTTAGATAAAGTTCTTTCTCTAAGAAAGGATATTGCCGGTGTGCTGTATTATATCACGGAAGATTCGAGATGAAAATGGCCGACTCGTTCGTGCTTCCTTATATAGTATAATTTATGCAGCCTCGTAGAGCGCACGATTTTTCTATATACGATCACTTTTTGTAATGAAATCACACACTGCCTTTTTCCGTCAATAAAGAGAAGTAATACTGTCCAAGTTTTCTTTATATGATGTACAATACACCCCCACTCTCTCTCTCTCTCTCTCTCCTTCTTTCTGCCATTTTCTCGAGCTCATAAATATATTATCTTTCTTTTTCCTGTTATTGCTAGAGTCACATCCGTTTAACTTTAATTAAATGTTAATTATTACGGAATATTTTATATACAACAGATGTTCATTATTTATTATGCTCTTGAATTTATTAAATGTAAAGTCTCCTGAAATATAAAGATATACCTGTAATTAACGAAAAATAGTTGTAATTAATGTATATTTTATATACATAATCTTATGTTATTAATATACATACATTTTGGCGATAATGTTTCATAAACATTGCACCGCGAGGATGCGTGATTGAAATAATATTGTTGTTGAGAAAATACAATTGTTGTGCAATATTATTGACTGTATGCACGCGTAATAAGAATTTAGCAGTTTGTTTACAATGTAATTCCATCTGATGATACAACTGTAAATTCACGATCAATAATTTATTCATGCATTAATGTATTAATAATATTATTTCATGCTCTGCTTTTATAATTCCTTCTACATACATAAAAATCAAAAACATCCGAAGCAAAACAAGTTAGTTAAAATGACGTTAAAATGAATCGTGATAACTATGACTTTTAATAATCACTTTGACGTTATTTTGATGTCATTTTAGTGTCACGATGACTTTTCAGTTCAGCTGAGGATTGTAAAAGAAATTATTTTGTACATTGTAAAAAAAAATGAGAGAAAAACAATGATTGATGTACGCAAAAAGACGAAAACTAATGATTAAAATTTAAACTCCAACGTATTTCGTACATGCCATATGTTTATAGCAACGTAATACTGAGCTACAACATATTCGTCGCAATATATTTAAGATAATTATAGAATCGTCATCGATTGTTGTCAAGCACATATTAGCGATATATATTTGATCGTTGGCGAGAGACACGCGCGGGAGCATTCTAACAAACTGCCATTTTTTTCGCCTCTGTGTTTACTTCATTTTTATTCATACGAGCCATCGCCAACGAAACGGCGTATGTATAACACACATATATACAGGCACCGGGCTCGCAAGAATCGTTGAAGCATACGCGCGTGGTGCGCACGGGCCGAGCGAGAGCCGTTTATCTCCTCGACCGATAACTCGGCGAGTCGGCCGCCAGGCGGCGCCCCGCTCCCCCGCAGCGCCCTCGCTGCCATTGGCTGGCGCGCGGTCACGTGACGGGACCGCGGGACGCGTCCGCAGCGCCAAGCGCATTTGGCGGGCTCGTCGCGTTTAGACGGCGTCGTTCGTGGCTACTCGTAAGTCTCTCGTGCTGTGTGTCGAGTGCCCGAATATCCACGTCGCGCAATGGTGAGTATCCGCGAGTTTTTCACGCGCACGACGGCCATCCGTGGCTACCGTCGGCGTCCCCGGACGCCGCGGATCCTCCTCCGTCCCCTGGCGGAGTTTCGCGGCTGGATCTCGCGAATTAACCCGTGATTTTCGTGTCCGAACAGGCTGGCGGTAAGGCGGGCAAGGACTCTGGCAAGGCAAAGGCGAAGGCGGTCTCGCGTTCGGCTAGGGCCGGCCTGCAGGTGAGTGTCGTGTGAGAACGTCTGGACGCGGCTAACATACGTCGGCGGGGGATCGATTGGCGGACAGTAGCGCGTGTTTTCCTCGACGGCATCTCGTCGCGTTCTCTCTCTCTCTCTCTCTGTCTCCCCCGTGCGATCTCGTAGCTTTACAGGTTAAATCATCATGGTTGTGGCGCGAAAAGCACGGCCGACTCTCGGCACTGCAACCGGCGAAGCGGTTTTCGACGGCACCCCTCGTGTCCGGGCACGCCGTTACGTACGCGTCGCGATGCCGCGTGCCTCGCTCTACCCTACGCTACGTCGAACCTTCGAGAAACCTCCGTGCGGAACGGTTTATTTTTCGAATTTCGTCGGGTGCGGTACACGCGGATCAACTTTCAAACGCGACCGACCGGCTCTCGCCCCTCGTTCCTCTCTCACACCGTCCGGGATTGTTTGGCCCCGCGGCGAGCCCGGCGACTCGCCGTTAAATCGAGAATCAATTTTTTTTGCCGCGAATCACAGCGGTCGCGCGAACTCCCCGACTTCCGAGCTCCCGAACGTTCCAAACTGACACAAGCCGACGAGGCGTCGTTTCCGTTCGCCGTTTGTTGTTTCCTCGTTCCCGGCGATCGCCCCGCGGCCGACGATTGTCATCGTGGCTCGCGCGGCCGAGCTTGTTTTTATCGTATTTACGTTCGTCGTGACCGCGCGCGATTGTTCATCGATCGTATACGTGCCGTCGCATTTATTCGTCGACTTTTAAAGCTTACCGTCGACGAGACGCGGAATGGTATTCCGCGACGGACGGGTCCGATCGAGAACCGGCGCGGCGAGGCGCGAGAATTGCGAATTTGAACCGTGGATTTCTCCAATCTTAGTTTTTACATTCAAGGGTCTCACGGGGCTGTCTACAATGGGAATAATATTGTATAGTGAGCGTATTAAACTGCAAGAATTGACGAATCACAGTCAGTTATTCTCCTCGTATTTGATTGTCATTGTTCGATTTCTTACGGTTCTAACTTGATGCACCATATTAAGTCTGTTCATGTTGCTTGAAATTCCCCAAAATGTTTTCCACTAAAAAGAGATAAGGATATATTAGGTGTTGAGGAGGGGGAGAAAGCGCGGAGATACCGAGTGCAAAAAGTACAAGCAGCACGAACAGATCTCTATTGTAGACAGATAACTTATTATAGGCCATCCGAAGTGAAAGTGACATCGTATAGTAAAGCCGCCAGCTGTAAGAAGTGACCAATCACAGATCTTTTTCACATTTGACTGCAATTGGTCGATTTCTTCAAACTTCCTACACCATATTACTTCCATAATGTAGACAACTCTGAATACAGTCCTGAGATACACTGTTCTGTGATTGGTTTATATCTTAAAACACTAAAGGGCTTTCTTGAATTATCGACTTAAGTTTTAAGTCTTAAATTGTAAGACATTAACCAATCACAGTCGAATGTGAAAAAAAAAAATCGATTGGTTTATTTCGTATAGCTTAACATTCGTGGAAAGTCTGTGAGTTTATTCATATAAAAATCGACTTTTATAAATACTAGCCTTCGTTTTCCCTCGATCACTGGATATCCCGTCGATTGATCGTTTTACGCCGTGTCATCGTTTGCTATCAACTAATAAAGGGCACGTTTTGAAAATATTACCTCGGTACATTTCATCTCGCTCATAATCGCGCGAGGAATGTTGCCCATTTGATGTGGAATGCAATTTTCGCTAATGCTATTTGATGATCAGGGTGCGTTCTATTTGGCGCTCACAACGCTCGCTAGTATTATCCTCGCTTAACATTTGATAAACAAGGATGAAATATTCAACGAGCGTCGCGAGTGTCAACGTATCCCCGTGATGCAACAAAATTTCGTCGAATAAAAGCGAGATTTCGTAATGTAGGGTGAAAATAAACGTATAGAGTGACATTTTTTTTTTTCAAGTGGACGTCCGTTTATTGAATTTAAATTCGCACCGTATTTGCCTCGGTTTATTATTGTTACAACCTGCATTAAGTAACTTAACAATTAAACATTAAAAGTGTATTATTTTCACCATCAGATGAATTAAAATAAAAGCAGCAATGCTTTTCGAGCGAAAACATTTTCGAGGTTTACTCCTTTCTTATTTTCGTACAATACGTTTTAACAAAGTTTGAGATTTGCAGAAAATTGCGTCTTGATGAAAAAAGTAAAAAATGTACAATTGCGATTTTAAGTCAGTATTGGTTATCGCTGTTTATTAAAAATTCTAGTCGGTTTTTGATGCGTTATCGACACGTTGCGTTTCCACAATCGTGATTAGAATTCTTAATTGTTATCGCTCTGTCGTTTAAATATTAACATAAAGTATCACACCGATAAGCAAAATTCTTGTACGTGTTGAATGCGATCAAATCTCCTTTGTTTACAAGGACCGTGTAAGTCTACACTTGGCTGATTTAGGTTCGTTTCTGTGGATTTAATTTTAATCTCGATTTAACTTATCTTCTTTTTCTAATCTTTATGCTCGTTTCTACCAATGTAGATTAACTTTAATCTTTAATAAACGATTTGTCATTAACTTTAATCTTAGAGTTTAGCTTAATTTTTTCCACCTGTTTCTAATTCCTGTACTCGTTTCTACCAATAGATCTTGTTCGTGTTGCTTGCATTTTTGACATTAAACATCTGTTTTTTCTCTTTAATATGCCCGAATAGTATATATTTATCTTATTTTAAGTGCACACAAATTTTTGGAGATTCTTTTAAGCAACGCCAACAAATCTGACAGAGATTAAATTTAATCTTGGTTTAATTTATTTATCATTTTTTTTCTAATTCCAAGAATTAGAAAAGAGTAATTTAAATAGAGATTAAAGTTAATCTTACATTGACGAAACTGATCCTTAATATCAATGCAAACGAGGAACCGAATGTGCTCCTAAGTTACACAAGTCGATATTCCTGTCCGATAATTCCGTCGCCAATAACATTTGGCAAATGAGATTATTTCGATACACCACGCACTCTTAATGAGAGAGATTAGAGCTGTCTTCGCGAGACGATACTCCGAAACGACGCTTCGCCAGCAGGAATTAATTATATTCGTCGTACTTTGGAGTACAAGATCGTGCAAAAATTAAGGCGTATTCAATAAATCTCGATAGCCCAGTCCATTCCCGGTTATTTACGATTCTCCTCGCACCTCTCGGTGCTCTTTGTGAAAATTCGCGATGCGTCTGAGATGGGGGGGGGGGGGGGACTGGGCCATTTTGTAATTTGTAGCCAGATTTACACTAAACGTAAGCGATTATAACAACAAAAATGTGTGTCGCTCGTGCAGCACGATTCGATGAATGCGGATGATTAAACTTTAAAGTCGCGCTTGTAGCAGATACACGTGAGATATACAGCTTGTGTTCCGACTCAGGTGCGGTTTGAATCATTTTTTCCCCCCTCGTACAAATTCTCGTTGTTACGAGTTTCAATCTCTTTGTATGGAAACGCGACATTTCGACATGTCGATCGTGAGCCCGGTATCGGCGGTGACAAAATTATTGTGCAACAATATCGACCGCGCTTGAGACAGCGACGTGAGGGGGGGAGGGGTGGTAGTGAGTGAGAGAGACGGGAGGCAGTGAGGACTAGCCACTTACGCGGTACGGGAGAATCTTCGGATGAGAGAACGAGAAAGAGTTTTCGAGAGCATCGGACGAGAGATAGCTCCCAGCTAGAGCGAGCTTCTCAGACGCGTCTCGAGGCGTGCGTCGGATGACGAAACTTTGTGCCAAAAGCCGGAGAGACGTCACGAGAGCCGAGAGGAGAGCGAGAGCGGAGCGGCAGGGCGAAAAGGAATAGAGGCAGACGAGGTCTGATATTCGCGCGGGTTTCGCGAACAGAGCCGAGAGAAGAGCGGGAATTTTCCTTTCTCTCTCTCTCTCTCTCGCTCTCTCTCGACGCGGAATGTTGAAATGACGAGGCGGAATGTACCCGGGACGTTCCTCGACGAGCGGACAGACGCGACTTCCCGGCTCGGCGGTCCTCTCGTAGAAGAGGACGGATCGAGGCTGGTCCCGGCCGCGCTGCGGAACGTCACGCGGAAATCCGTATTGTCGCTTATCGCTCGATATTCCGCCTCGACCGAGAGGCTACCGACGTTGCGACCGACGATGACGACGACCGGATGTCGCATGAATGGATAGTAGACGCGAGTTGATCCGTCCGAAAAACGTTTGGTCAGTACTGACGCAGAAGTTCCGGCAGAAGTCACTAGACGCGTCTTTAGTGGCGAATTAAGACACAGGGTGCCCCGTGCTAGCAAGGAAGTTCAGAAGAATTTTACAACTATTGACTTAAATCGATATCGTTGATATGTCAACATTTGGTGATTAAATTGTGGTGTCAGGTGGCTGAATTGTTGATCGTATTCTTTGTATCGAGAACTTCGATGCGTATCGCGAAAGCACTGAATAAAATGTATTTTTAATTCTAAGACAATGTCCACTTCTACCGACGTTGATTAATTTTAATCTCTATTTACTCTTTGCTTTTTGTTCCAGTTCTAAACATTAGAAAATTATGACGAGTAAACTGAATCGAGAATAAAGTTAATCTACATTGGTAGAGACAGGCATTAATAATAAGTAATGAAAAAGTTAAGTAAAAAAATTTTTAGCAAATTTGGATTTTTAAGACTGCTATATATTTCTGAGAGGACTTACAAGTGATTTAAATATAATATATTTTTAATATTTGTGGAGTTATTTCTTATTTATTTATTATAATTTTCTTTTAATTTTGTTGTGTAGCCCCAAATGAACGTTTTGCGAACTCATAGAGAAATCGTCTCTCCAGTGAATTCTCTGTCAAGAACGTTGTTAACGCTACATTCAGATCGAGATTCAGATCAAATGTAGTTTTATTATATATTTATGTAGTTTAACCTGTCATTCGCTAATATTATGTATAAAAGAATTATTCAATCTCGAACGTATTTTTAAATATGATTTAAATCGCAAAGTTCGTGTTTCGCGTCTTGATGTAAATCTTCCGAACAGAAAATTTGAACGTTTAGGTGAAATACGAAATGAATGAGATATATAAGTTTTGTGTGTTATTTCTATTTTCCAATTCACAAATATTTGAAACGCTTCTATCGATAATGTTTTACTTAATGAGGCAATTAGAGAGTCTTTTTACGACATGGTTTTATCACATTTGTTGTTTGTCACTGACAAGCGGTATATTTATTTGCTTTATTTATTTTACTGTTATATTTTACTCGTTTTGTATTTTGAGGAAAACGTACATTTTTATACTTTTATATTTTTTTTCCGTGTCTTGCCTATTTTTTCCGAATATTCCTGTAAGATTTGGTCAATATCGTGCAATAACATTTCGGCACAAATTAAAAAGCACACACAATAAGGTATAAATTTAAAAATATAACTTTTGAAAGTACACAAGTTTCAGTAAATTTTTTAATTATTTTCTCGTATATCTTCGTACTCGGGGGATCGTTTCCAGTCGTAAATGTAAGCAACAAAATAAAATTTCGTGACTTAATACATCCAATTTAGATACAATGCAAAAGTTCGGTCTTATTACAAAGTATACTTTATGTATAGTATATCGAGTATATTTTATGTACATATATTATTGACAGTGTCAGGAAAATAGGATGCCGGTAATGATGTTTACGAAGATTACCATAACTACGTGGTAGTCGAGCAGTCGTTCCCTTTTCGCTCTCAACCTAAAGTCCAACTTCGAGACCGAGCTTTTTATATCACTACACACGTATTACATACATTTCTGCGCGTAACAGTGACGTCAAATCTCTCGCAACGAGTAAGAAACATATACCGGGTGTCGAGGTGACGAGGCTGCAGGTACTGTCGTCACTCTCGTCAAATCGCGTTCCCGGGGTGAGAAAAGCGCGGGCTAATGTCACCGTTTCATTGCAGTTTCCCGTAGGCAGAATTCACAGGCATTTGAAAAACAGAACCACGAGTCATGGTCGGGTAGGCGCTACTGCGGCAGTGTACAGCGCGGCCATTTTGGAATACCTTACGGCCGAGGTAAGTGAGCATACATGTGTGTGTGTGCGTGCGTATATGTGTGTGTGTACATGACAGAGAAAGAGAGAGAGAATACGAGAGATTGTTATATTGTAACTGAAACCGAAATCGAGAGAGACACTCCATTTCTGAGAAACATCTCATAACAGAGAATTTCGTACACACCAGCTGATAATATGACAGTTGAAAATTAAACGAAAGGAGATACAGACAAGAATGGTTCAAGCCGCCGACAAAAGAAGGAATTGGAATGCGTAGTGAGCTAACAATAAATATTACAAATGATAACGACGAAATAGGCGGGGTCATTTGTGAGAATAGGATCGAAGTCAATTAAGATGAGAAATACTTATGTCTGATTGCATTGTTATTCTTATCGTTAGTATTTTGCGTTTGTAAAAACGTTACAAGTATCTTATAAACGCTTTATCTAATCATTAATTGTAATTTGAATTTCATTATACTTGGAACCGATATAATTTGATATAAATGTAATTAAAATCAGACTTATTAGAGCGCAATTATATTATTCAACATTAATCTTTAATCATTTTAATTATTGAAATATTTATATTTTATGTAATGTAATTAAATAATTATATAATAATATCCAATATATAATGTTTATTCAACGCAAATCCAGGAAGGAGACAAAGAAAGAGCGGACATTATATGGAAAAGAGCGAGCGCGCGCGCGCGCGCGAGAGAGAGAGAGAGAGAGAGAGAGAGAGAGAGAGAGAGAGAGAGAGAGAGAGAGAGAGAATATTAAAATACAGACAGAAAACAACCGTTATAAATGCGGCATCACAAGTGTGATGGCGTTGCAGTCTCTAAAAGCATGGCTCTCTTTCCCGCTTTTATTTTTGAGTGGAATTCATTTTAAATTGATTAAATATTTAACATTGAAGGCAATATATATTTTTTAAGTGTATTAACGTTAAAATTGCCATGCGCGCGAAAAAAAATTCACTTTAATTGTCAACCATATTTACGACTTATTATTTTCGTTGTTTCTATAGCTATTATCGATATATTTTTTTGTGTAAAATAGTTCATTAAACAGTTACATTTTTTTTTGTTTTTAGGTATTGGAGTTGGCGGGAAATGCATCAAAGGATCTGAAAGTTAAACGTATTACACCTAGACATTTGCAACTCGCTATTCGTGGCGACGAAGAATTAGATAGTCTCATTAAGGCAACTATTGCAGGAGGAGGTATGTTTCGTTTTATAACTTTTATGTAGCTTTTATATATATAAAATTATAGTCATAAATATAATTTATAATTATTCTTAATCAATTGTAATATCAACTTTATGGAATAATATTTTGTATGTAGCAATGTTCAAAGTTTCCGTAGATTATTGCTAATTTTTTTGTATAATTTTTATACTAATGAGAAAACGAGAAAAACAACTTATGAATATAGAATATTTTATTCAAACAAATACATGTAAGAAAGGGACTTGGTTTGCAAGAAATGTCTTGGCTGTACACATCCTTTCACACTATCCATGCTGTCCTATATACATCCAATTACATAATCTTTTCTCTAAAACTCCTGAACTCCTTCGAATTTTTTAATTACTCCTTTTCTTTTCTAAAATTTTATTATTTACTTCATCCCTAGTATTCTTAACTTCCAGCTTATATTTTCAGTATGATCTTTTATTACAGTTACCTATTTCATTATTTCATACTACCTCTAAGAAAGAAATTTATGTATATTATTGTTTGATTGCAGGTGTTATTCCACATATCCACAAATCACTCATTGGCAAGAAGGGTTCGCAGAAACCAGCATAATTTAGCGATAATTGACATTGAATATTTTAAGATTCGTGGACAAACGGGAGGAGGAAAGAGTTGGTCCAGTGCTTGTTAACAAAGTGTACCTAGGTTACTAAATCGATGGCGAGACTGGCGTGATATATACATAGATATATATATATAGATATATAAATAAAACAGTATATTGAGATATAATTTAATATAGATTAAAAAAAATGAGAGTTAAAGAAAGACAAATGTTCATTGACAATTGACAAACGGACAAGACAGGGAGTGAGAATGAATTTTAGGCAGGTTGTAGGAAATTTTAGTGTGTTGCGAGCGATGCGTTATAGCATGGCTCGAGATGACGGCAGTCTTTGGTAGTTTGCAACTTTTGAACATTGTGAAAACATCAGAGGGCGTATGAAAATCTGTTCAATTACCATGTTTAATTATTTACAACTATGAGCGATTATTTTACTAAACCGCCATCTTTGAACTTTTGTCTCATTTTTGTTTTTAAATCGCATCATGTACTTCTGAGAGACAGATTCGATTAATTTGCTTTCAAGTAACTCTTTCTCATTTCACAATCTCATACAACACACATGAGTCCTGTTCAGTTCATCGTTTCATACGAATTTAATATACTTTATTAATCTGCATATACGTTCATGTTATTAAAATTTTGCAAATTGTAAACATATAACAATTTCCTTAATGTTGAGTTTGTTACGATAAGAAAAGGAAAAAAGGCAAACTTCAGTGTAAATTTTGTCTAATACTCTATTTGGCCAAATTCATATAAAAATATATAATAACAATTCAATTTGATAGTTAGATATTAAATCGTCTCGCGCGTTCATCACGGTTTACAAGTTTCTTGCGCTTTCCTCCTGTCAGAATCACGAACGTTATTGTAAGGTTTCGATGATGATAGCAACGATTCCAGAGTTTGAAAGTTTAAATATGTGACTCGATGATTGTATATAACAGTTTTAATTACATACAGAAAAACTCGTGTAACATATAAATGAAATTAAGTTTATGAATATTAAGTTCTGTGAGCTGCTAAAAAATGAACGAGCTTTTCATCTCAAAAACCAGATTGTGGAATATTCAATTAAACATTTTTTGGATTTTGCGAGCTAATAAGCGAAGACTGACTTCGTTTCTTGTAAAATAATCTGAAAAATAGATACAGGAACGATTCGATATATATCCAATGGTTTATTTGCACATATAAAAACGTGAGTTTTTATTTCTGTTCAAGTTCTTTTCTTTCTTATTTTAATGTTTGTCGCTCTTCGTTATTTTTGCGATTTAGCATAATTTTTATTGTACCTACACGGTGTCGTATTATATGTAAAACGTTCATTTTCATACATAATAAAGATAAATTTTATTAAACTCTGCATGCATATCACAAATTTGTACCATACGTGAAATATTTGTCAGTTATAAGTTTATTAAACTGCATGCGTATTATAAACTATTGCAATGCTTTATATAAGGTCTTGAACTAGAAGGTACGTATTTTATTCTCTAAAAAAAGAAAATTTTATTTTTATAAGCAATTTAATATTTTTAATGTAAAACGTTTATCAGCCGTTATAAATTTGATTAAATTGCGTGCAAATCATGAGTTACTGCGACACTTTATATAAGATTTTTATTTAGGAGCCATGTATTTTATTTTTTAAGAGAAATTTTATTTCCATAAGCAGTTCAATACTTCTAATGTAAAAACGTTTATTATATTAGTCGTTATAAAAGATTATTAAACTGCTTTAGTATTAAACTGCAAATCATAAATTATTGCGATAATTTATATAAGATTTTGATTTAGAACGTATGTGTATATATTTTATTTTTTCTAAAAAAAAGAACCTTATAATTTTATTTTCGTAAGCAATTTATATCTTTAATTATAAAAGAAAAACATTGGAAGAATATACATAAAAGAATTTACATCAAAAGAAAAAATTGCATGCTTATTATAGATATTTATATACCTATCTCAAAATAAAAAATAGAAATAAATGTGGGCAGTTCTTGTGTACATATATCGACTTTATAAATAAGTTTCGATTCTACTCGGTCGCTCTTGAAAGCTTCGGGTATTGCCGAATATCGAAAATGTACAGATACGCTTCTGCATGTATATTGGTATGTAATTCATTATCAACGTGACGACGCGACGCGGCCATGGCTATGCTAAGCGCGTCCATGCGGTGGCGTCGCCTGGCGAGGAACACCGGTGATTCCCGAAGTTGCCGCCGGTCCTCGTCCCCACCAATCCTACGAGCTGCTCTCGCCGGGCGCGCTAGCTGGCGAAGTTGGCGGGGCGGGAGGGGAAGGAGTGCCCGCGCTTGCGCCTTGTAGACGAGCGCGAGCAAAACGGAGCTGCCCCCACTCCCGCGACGGATTGCGGCGCTTGGAGTAGTTGGAGTGAGTAAAGTCACAGTCGCCTTTCACGGGTACGGTCGGGTTGGTCGGTCGGTCGTTCGTTCGGTCGGTCGGTCGCCCGAGCGGGGCTTGGAGCAGCGTATACGCTCGCGATCGCACTCTCGTCTCGGAGTCGCTCCAGGAATTAACGTCTTTGCCGGTGCCATCCTTGGTAAGGGCCGGCCTATGTGACACACGCGCGCGCGCACGCATACGCGCGCAGCACGACGCATACCTCGCGCTGCCCCGGGCACGCACTTGGCTCGCGGTGACAGGTCGCGTGGTCAGGAGTGTATATCTCCCGTAAGACGCGCGTCCTTCCGCATTATCCTCGCGTTACGTCGAAAAGAAAGGAACTGAGAGAGGTGGACGTGCGTACGCGCGCGTGTCTCGTCTCGCCAGACGTTTGAAAACACGCACCGCCTTGAAGTTGCCGGCTGCGTCCAGTGTACTCCCGCTGTCGCGTGAAGTTGCCGGTTACGCGCATCGTCTGCATGCAAATTGAACGCGCGCGCGCGCGCGCGCGAGAGAGTTCGTGATCGTTTTTTTTCTTTTCCTGCCGGTGATCCTCTCCTACTCGCGATCAGTGCCAGTCGCGTGCGGAATTCGCATCCGAGAGTTCAAGGAAAGAGCACGCCGTCCCCTTTCCTTTCTCGCTCGCCTCGTTCCTACGTCATCAGGTTGTCGTTCTACGTTGTTCGGGACAGGACAAAAATCATCTCCGGTTGCCGGCTTCTGTTTACGTTATTCAGGTGATTCGCTTGCTATTTGAAAGACGCGTTGTAATCAGTCTTGAATAGCATTACGAGATAGAATTGTTAGATAATTTTTGTCGTTTCCCTATGCTTGTATATGCTGACGGTATTTGATATCAAGTTGATATTTGATGCTTAGTCTTGACGAATGGTTATTCAAATTATGAAAAGTTAGAGAATATACTAATTTATAAATCGGATTTTTTATATACCTTTATATTACAATTATAATATTGAACTGGTGAGATTTTCGATTTAAATGTCGTGAATTTAATTTTATCCACGATAAGGACATTCGTCAGTAGAAAGTAAATGACCGCTTTCAGTAGAATGTTTATTTTGCAATTGCTGAAAGTTTTCTGCGTTGAGATAATAGAACTGTTCTTTTAGATCTAAAAGTACAATTCAATGAACGCGAAGAAAACTTCCAACAGTTGCAAAATAAACATTCTGCTGAACACGGCCAATGCACTGAAAAGAAAATTTACTTAATCTTCCTACATATTTCTTTAAATAGTACTAACATAAGTAAACGTTTACTTATAGGAACAAATATGTACTCGAAAAATGGTAGTTAATAAAATTAATGTATTCTTGTATCAAATAAATTTTAATTTATGTAACACATAAATAAATGTATTAATTTTAAAACTTTGATAGGTTTTCTTCCAATTTTTCCGCGGATTTTTTCGGTTTCTCTTTTAAAAATAGAAAAATTCATTGAAAAAATTACTTCTTTTCGGAAAGAAAATAATTTTATTTTTTTCTACGATTTTGAAAAAAGCGGCTTTTTAAAAACTATAAATATATGTTTATATTTAGTAAATATTAACTTAGAAATATGCAACGAATATTTATTTAAATTTAATATTTCTTTCAGTATAGGAAATATTGTTTTTGAGGTTGTGTTTGAGATTATGTTTGATGGAAAAAGCAATTATTTTTGGTACACTGTTGTCGATCTAATCTTTCAATCTAACAATGTAAATATTGCGGAAACTCTTTCATTGGCTGCACATATCGACAAGATTTTTCTTATGGAGCCGTACAAGACGTAATTGCTTGTTAATAATTACTAGAAAGGATACTTTTTTTTTTCAATACATCAAATGCGAAAAGTATGTTACAGAACGCCGATAGAATTGTTTCTCTTTATCGGATTCATGAAATAAATGTTTTATTTACGTGGCGAAATCTGTTTGGTCGCGTAGTTAATGATATCATTTTTTATATTTTTCCGAAAGTATTTACGGATGAATAATATTTGATATCCGTTATTAGTTACTTTGATGTCTCACGTAACGAATCAGTTTATCCGTATAGTCGATTAAATTCCGGCTAATTACGCCCACAAACTGGAATGATTAATTATTAATTACTCCGAGCCAGTAAAGATTAACGAACATGTGCGTGCAATTATGGTCGTTTGGATGCGACAAATGGAGGGAACGTAATTGCGAACGCCTACCTTCGCACATGTAACGAATCCAGTAAATCAAAGTGCACGAAGTCTTCGTTTAATTGACTCGATCTTTTAAGAACGTAATCGAAAGCAAGTAACACGATCAGAGTGTAATTTCTTTACTTTCTTAATCGGGCGCCATATTGTCTTCCCTCGTGCGTGTCTGATGTATTATATGATCAATTGAGCTGGGTATAGTTATATCTCTTTGATCTAAATTCTAAATTGAGGAATGGCGGAAAAAACAAACGAATTGATTAGTATTTTATCGCGAAAAATCGATATCTTTTCTCGAAGAAAAGAAAAAAGAAATGGAAATATATGGTACGTGAAGAGAAGGTTTCAGATGCGCATAACTCCAATTGGAACAGATCTATTTATTTTAGTCGGTGCCCAGAAATGTTCCAACATACCACTAAATTTTATATTAAATTAGCTAAATGGCAATGTGGACAATTGGGAATCTCCCCACGTGAGAATGGACGCATTTAACAGACTCAACAGTTCTTCTTATTGTTTATTGGCTCTTTCTTTGTAGTGAGAGGAGACAATATGGCCAGATCACGTCTCAAGTTAACTATCGGAGCGACGAGTAGATGAAATGAGTTCCCAGGACCTTAGCGAGACTCAACAGTTGAATGAACGCTCGCTGCTATTTGTATATTCTTCTTCTAGATCTAAAGGCCTGATTGGATGATCTAAGAAAACATTTCAATAACAGCAAACGCTCACAACTGTCGAGTCTGTTGATTGTGTATTCTGAAACCAAGTGAAGTATAAAAGTAAGTTAATTTTATCAGATTTACTAGGTGTTGACGACCAGTGAAATTATAATTTGTTCACTTCTATAATTTTCATCTCATTTTAAGATGTACGTTCTAGCCTGTCCTCTGAATGTGTCCATCATGCAGGAACTGGGATTCTATAACACAC